TATGGAGATCATCCTCATGTGTGCTATGAGCTCCTGACTAAGGGAGCTGATCTGACCCATCGAAATGCTCACAATGTCAGCGCTTATCATGCAGCTATTTTAAATAAATCTAGTACAGGTAATTATTTAGAATACTGAGAGTGCCTATTCAATTTTTGGCATATTTATATAATAATCCAATTATTAATTTTCATTCCAGCTAAAGCTGTTATCGAGAATTATTTGATACAGCACTGGATTCTGTAGATCTTCAGCGAGAGGATTTGTATATATTTTCCTGTAGGTGTAGTACAAGTAATAGTCCCACCACATTTATCTGAGTTACACTCCATAATAATTTTTGACCAGAGATGTGTAAATATTTTTTTCAATTTAATTCTGCTGTTAATAATTAAACGAACAAGTTTTATATCTACATATATTTTGTGTACATCCAAACAATACTAGATACTAAACATGTATGGACTTATAAAAAGAAGATAATGAATAAACGAAAGATTGGCTTAATACTATATTCGCAGGATGAATAACAGTCACGTATTTATTGAATCCCAAGATTCGTGGCCGCTGTAACATGGTTTATCATCATTTCATTTATATTCTTACATTCTAAATACCATTTAATTATTCACAATAGTTTTCAGGGATTTAGCCAGACAGCTTTACGCAACCGTACAAACTCCTAGACTATTGTATCCCGGATGGTTTTAGATTAAAACAATATACCGATTTTCTGATAAAGAAATATTTTTCCCGTACAATTCGTTACCTCATGCGCCTTATCGTCACCTATGCCAGCGTGACAAAGATTATTTCAATACAAAATAGAAAACTTATACCACTTCATAATTGTCAGTGAGGAAAATAGTGTCAACCGAGTGTTTGACGGGGCTCCCATCGTCTACCAGTTGCACATCGATTACCTGGTGATGAAGAAAATGAATTTTAAAAATTGATGAATTTTGTAACGAGAGGGTAACGCGGGAAAAATTAAAAATTAATTTCCAAAATGACTCACTTTGATTTTGGCGTACGAAGTTTTCGATGTGAATGAGACGTGGAGTGGGAAAAAGTCAGAGGGTGTTGAAGACGGCGCGGAGAACTCCATGGAGCCAGATTTGGAGGATGCATCGACGAGGGGCAGGGACCAAATGAGCTGGTTCCTCCTTGGCTCGTGGGAATATTCCCCATCGCATTCACTCACTATAGGAGTGCAGCCCATGGGCAGTGGAATGTTAATCTGTACATCATTCAATTCCAAATCTGGGTGATCTAGTTCGTATTCAATGTTCACGTCACATCCATTTTCACCGTTTTCTGAGGGCCAGCAGTTTACTGAAAAGAAGAAAAAACACGATTCGTGCAGGAAATTCAATATTTCGATCAAACAGCGGTTGATTTCACGAGAGACAAAAATAAATTGAATAGAAACAAATAAATCCACTCACTGGAGATGGGCAGTGCAGTTTCATCCTGGGACTGCAACCTCCACTTCAACACCCCAACATCAGTATTGAGAGGGAAAGGTTTGCTGGGCACTTTCAGTCCAATCTGTCCCTTCATCCTGAACAAATCCTTATCGACGTTGGGATGTGTCTGAAGCTGGACTCCCCTGCTGTCTTCGTTTTCCAGCTGTACGCGTATCCTCCCCCACTGTTCGTCAGATATATTGAGAGTGACAAGGCCATGTAATTCGAACTGCTGGACACCACCGTCCCTTCCCACTCGTACATTAAGCTTCTCCTCCTGTCTCAGGTGTACAGGTTCCGTGTGAATGATCTTTTGGGAGGTGGGTGCTGTCTTCGTATCCAGAGATTTGACGTTCGTCACGACATTCTCACCCTCCTCCTTCAGTTGGTCCACGAATGAGTCTATATCCCGAACTTTTCCACCCAATTTCATAGCACCTGGGCCAGCAACTGTCTGTTTAGCTGATGGAGTGTAACTCGGCTTCACTTGCTCAGGAACAAAGTTGGCTGAGTCACCGACTGTTGGACTCGAGTTGAAGCCTCCACTGTTGTTTCCATATCCTCCCGCAAACCCTGACGATTTCATCCCTCCCTTCTTGTTTGCCTCTAATTTCTGTCGCTGCAGCTCCTTCGCCTTCTCCCTCATCTTGTTCTTTGCCTCACGTTCCTGGGTGTAACGCACTGCGTTGAACACTCGCTCCTCGTGGGAATCCATTTCCACGAATGTCCGTATCTGTGCTAAATTCACGTTTTCCCGGTAGCCCAGGGCTACTATCTCATCGAATGAGAATATCAACTCGAAAGCGTGATCCGCTATCTCTAGCTCGTCTATGGATTTGCAGTACTCTGGAATCTACCACAGAATTTTTTAAATTTAGTTCAGAGTTTATTACTCATCGCCTGGTGATACGTAAGGCTTCAATTTTAATTTCAAGGCACTTACGACTCTGGCAAACAATCTGAGGGTCTCCAAGTCCTCCAGAATATTACTGGCCTTCGTCGTGATCAGCAACATATACAATTTCTCCATGGGCTGGTACACGTATCTAACAGACTCAGTTTCCACGAATGTGTGTTGTTTTCCAGTGCTCATGAGCTTTGGAAATGCCGCCAGGAGACCCTCTATCCTTGCTTTCGTCATCTCCACGAATTGGCGAGAGATGATTGCTGTAGGAGGACGTAAAATACAGAAATTAATCTCAATCTCTTTGGTTATGTCATCTCGACAATGCAAATGGTCCTACTTACTCTTTCCAGTTTTGGTGCATACTGCACTCGCAATAAGTACCTAGAAAAATAATAATTAATCCCTTTAAGTAGATTGAATCACTCATGACTTGAAAGTCTGGAAACTCGGGTGTCTGATGACATCCGCAGTTTCGGAGCATGGAATATCCCAGAAATTTTTGAAATCTTCACCACTCATTATCAATCTTTCAGAAACAGAGCACAACTAATATTCTTTAGTACTCACCATCTTGGTGGACCGATTGTTTCGGCAAATGGCTAATTATTAACCTAATAAACTGTTGATTTATGCCAGCGTATACTCGACATATCACACGGGAGAAAGAGTTTTACAGGGTGCAGAGGGCGTTGTTTGGATGACGTGTGCAAACGTGACGTCCGTGCAGTTTTCAAGAAGCTACCGGGATGATTTAATTATTGACAATTATTGCTATTCAACTTCATTAGTTTTTTCCATTCAAAAGTGTCCAGTGAGCTGCGGCTATTACGCCCTTGAATAATATTAAACGACTGTACTAAATCTTTTTAAATATCAATTCATTCATTTGCTCACTTCCTGTTCTGCACTTTGACTACTGTGGAATTATGAACACATCCGTTTTGCAGTCAAATCCACCGAGTGACAATTGTCAATGGGACTCGATACGTGATATTCACAGCTGATGCATCGAAGTATTTTCAATTGATTTAAATACCAAGGGATTTTTTGGGATTATGGATAATCTCGCTCAACAAGTGAGTGAGATGTCGAGATTAAATCGACATTTAAATGTTGAGAATTTTTGGTTTCAGTTGAATGAGCAGATGAAGTTTATTCATCTTTTTTTTCATTTTTTATTTTAGGTGGATGAAATAGAGGCACTTGTGGCTATTTATGGAGATGAACTCGTGGTGGAGGATGAAGAAAATCGGGCGTACAGCATCAACGTAGGGGATGGTGAATGGACTGTCAGATTTTATCTGAAATTACCTGGTGATTATCCATCAAATTCACCACCTGTTTATGAAATTTCTGCACCACATCTCAGACAGGAGCAGAAGATGAGAATCTGCCGGATTCTGGACGAGGTATACTTGTAGGTTTTAGCGGGTTTATTTGTTTCAACGAGTTATTTTTTATTTGACTTGTCAGTCCAGAAATTTATGTATTTATTTATAAATATTTTATTGTGGGCACTGCATTTTTCGAACTGCCGTCGATTAAAATATTTTATTTAAATTAAAATACACGATACTGAGGAGAAAGTATGGAACTGATTGACTCTGATATTTTTTACGATAAACTCATTTGGTTTTCAGGGATTACGTAGGTCAAAATGTTATCTACCAGTGGGTCGAGAGAATTCGCGAGGAATTGCAAAATTTTAAACTACAAAAAGAAGAGTCTCATGAAAATGATGCAGAGGAAAATGACCTGGAGATAGAGCTGGTGTCGGCTCCCGTAGAAGAGGAGTGTCCAGAAATTTATCATGGAGAAGTTGTTGTGGACAGGAAGAGCTCGTTTCAGGGTCATACAGCAAAAGTAACATCCATTGCTCAAGTAAAGTGAGTTTAAAAGGCCCAAAATTAAAATTAAATTGAAATTCCGTGGCGATGCCTTTCAATGCTCAACATATTTTCAATCATTGTTAACAGATTGGTTCTCAGAACTCTGATGGAGAATCGTAAGATAGATCAGGCGACCCACAACATGTACGCCTACAGAATCCATCAAGAAAGGACCAACAATTACCTCCAGGACTGTGAGGACGACGGGGAGAATCAGGCTGGGGGAAGATTGCTTCACCTCCTTCAAATTCTAGACACTAAAAATATTCTAGTCGTCGTGTCTCGATGGTACGGTGGAATCCACCTCGGGCCTGATCGCTTCAGGCACATAAACAACGCAGCACGCCTCGTCCTGGAATCGGCTGGCTTCATCAGTCGACATAAGGATAAAAAATGATTGTGCAGATGAATCGTGTAAATAGAGAGTACATATTTGTAACAACGTTTGCAGTATACTTTATTAGATTTTCATATCACCTTCAAATCGGTGGCTCCTGTTATGTGCCATAAAGTAACTCTCGGTTATGACTAGCATGAGAAATCGATATTGTACTCATCCCGAACAAATATTTGAAGCAGATAAACAATGATTATGCCATTACCACAAGAATAAATGAAATGAATTGACATGTGGCACTCTAAGTGTCAATAAATCGTTGAATTGTTAATGAAATGAAATAAAATTGATTTTGAGTTATGGATATCAAAGAGTTCTTTCCCATTTCGCCGATAAAATAATCAAATTAAATATTCCCATATCTTGAATAACACATAATTAATTAAATAACATAAATTCATAATTCACTGGAGTATTAACCGTAGAGATATTTATTGTGTGGCTTTGGTGACAATTTTAATCCAGCGATGACACGACGACCCAATCATCCGCTTCATCACATATCGCTGAAGATACAAATTCTTTCGAAAGAACTGAAACAGACAGAACATCAAAGGCATTATTGAAACTGATTAATTATTAATTACCCCGGCATAATCACCATTGAATCGAATCTCCAACTCCGTTGAGTCATCCTTTCCATTAATCTCCCCAATCTTCACCGAGTTCTCTTTGCTCATCTGCATCAGCTGTTTGCTGCACTCGCCCAGTTCCTCCAGTTTCTTCAATTCAGTCCTGTAGCTTTCATCATCCCCCGAGTCATCAATGTCTGGATCTGGCTCTCCATCCTCAATACACAGAACCGCAGAATCAGCTGTTGACTCCGTGCAATTGACATAAGTTATCGTATCCAAACCATTTCCATTCGAATGGCTGTCACTCTCGTAATTCTGACTACTCGTCATGTACTCGGATAAATCAAAATTGAGAACATCAGCTAGTAGCTTCTCCTTGTTCTCAACATCTTTCTGAATGCTCTCCAGATTTCTCTCTCCCCTCAGCACACAATCATCATCAATACTCAGCGTTAATAAAGATGAATGAGTCTCTTGAACATCTCTGCAGTACTTTAAAAAACTGTCCTCCCCATTGATCCCATTGACCCTATTGACTCTACCCGTTCTTTTCTGCTTTCTCTCAGGGGTGAAAACGACTTCCTCGAACTCCTGCTCTCCGATCTTCTGAAAGATCTCTCTCCTATCGATCTTTCCCTCCTCCCTCTCCAAATGCTCGACTTCAATATCAATATCAGTTACCAGAGGTGTATCAATGCTAAGAGGAACGATGGGTGGCATCTCCGTGGCCTCAACCCCATTAACCACAGGATTGGGATCGACTCCACCCCTGGGCGGCAGAGCACTCATCGCCTGAATGATATTACCAGGACTGATTTTGTAAAAGGGAATGCTCGGAACAATGGAATTCTCCTTGATCTTTGTTTTGAGCCCGAGGATGCCTGCAGCAACAGGTTTGCTGATCTCAGCAAATGTGAGGGAGTCCCTGGTCTCTTCAGGGCTTTCAACGCTGCTTATCTCAGGGTGATAGGAGATTCTCAAGATATTTCTCTCGCCTTCAAGTACAAATACCTCGTCCTTGGTGCAGGAGACATCGGTGACTCTCCTCAGGTCACTCACCACTGAAGTAATGGCAATGGTCACGGGATTGACGACGTAAACGACGTCCTCGCTGAAGGTGACGAAGAGATCGTCGCAAAAGGGAAGGATTACACCAAAGGTCGGCTCTCCACGTTTTTTCTTGACCATTTCAGGTGCAGGATTGAGTAGAGCGACGTCGGTGTTAGTAGTGTGGAGGACCTCCTTGAAAATAAGAGTCTTGATGACAGTTCCTGCTTTGTCAGCCTGCCATAGCCTCAGGCCAGGTCGGCTGGCGTAGATGATGGGCTCTTGAATGTGCGCCTGACGAGTAGCAAAAACAGCCCCCAGCCTCCCAAGGTTTTTTCTCTCCTTCTGTCCCACTTGCGAGACCTTCCTCTCCCGACTGCTGCCTCCTGACTGCACCAGAATCGTCCTGAAGAGGGTCGACACCAGCAGAAGGCCCTGCTGATAGCTCAGCTGCACCACTGCGTACTTCTCGTTGAGCAACTCCGAAGACTTGGAGAGGTGCATATAAAAATCAATCTCCGTGAGCACAACTAGACCATCCTGATCACCACTGAATAACTTCATTCCATTCTTCGACCACTCGACAGAATTCACTGGGCTCTTGTGAATTCCCCCGATGTTGTATCTCTCTACCTGTTTCTTCTGTTTCGGTCGGAGACTTTCAGGTAACGACTCGGGCAAATTCTTGGGAATTTGAAACACCGTTACAACACCCTGGGCATTTCCTGCGGCCACCATGTAGTCCACTGTAGAAATCACCCGGAGGCACGTGATACCCGAATACGCATTCTCGCAGCGCAATCTCTGGAGATCACCTGTCTCTCTGTTGTACCAGTAAACGAGGCCACAGTTTGTGCCAATTGCCAGGAACTCCGGGAGAGCTGAGATGCATGTGAAATTAATATCGTGTGTGAATAATCCACTTTGGAGCTTCACGGGGATCTGTTGGAGAAGAGTTGTCAGTGGTGCCCACTCTCTCAGGGGACCACCGTCTTCACTCATCGGAGTCATCATCGCAGCCTCCGACTTTGCGGGACTACATCAGCTGTTTTTTTATGAAGTGATATCAACAAGGGGCTGTCAACCCCCGGCTTCGATTATTCAGTCCTTCAAGTTATTTAACCCTCGCACTGACTGTTTCCATCACTTTTCACATCATATGGCAATAAAATTCCAGAACGCACCGCCGGCTCGGTCAGTCCAGTTATTTCACAAGAAACTCTAGGATCGAATGTTTATCCGCAATATCGACGCGTTACGTGTCATTGTCTGACAACAGTTTTGACAGCTTCGGTCCGCACTTGTCAGCACATTATTATTTCGGAATCTCTTGTATACATTAAGGGGTGTACGCAAATGGCTAAAAATACATCGACTTGTGGGGTAACTGGAAAATGGCAGCAATGGAGAACTCTGGAGAATTCCAGTGTTCCCTGCGTTCAAGTCTGCGCGCCAATTAAAATTCCCAATTTATCGCAGCAATTACTCAAATTATTCATTTTAATTCTCTCAAAATCGTACGGGAATCCTCTAAATTTATAAGTTCATTCATTTAAAAAACTTTTTTTTGACGACTAATAGATTTTTCAATTAGAATCGACAATTTAGAAACGAATTTCAAGTACTGAAAAAATTTTCAAATTTCCCGCATCAAAGGACGTCAGTTCATTCCAAAGGACTTGATGCTACGGACGCCAAGTTGTAGTTGTACGAAGTGGCGAATATGCGAACTGAAATTCCCTGTATGCTTCATACAGAGTATATGTATGTAATTCGGAGGAACGAACCAGATGCCAAAACCAGATGATTCTGATTCAGAAGGGCGATTTTCCAGTTTCTACACTGTTTTGTTTGACATGACATTTATTATTTTACTTCAGTCATTAACTAATTTTGAAGTTTGGTAAATGACTTATTAAGAGTCCATCCTTAAAGTTATTTAAAAGAATTATATACGTATTTGTGCATAAATTGGAATTGGAATTGTAAGACACTGGTGATTGAAGGAGGTTAATTGACTGAAAGACTCGGGGCGTTTTCGCACTTTGTACGTGTCAAACTTCTTTTTTTTTGCCGCTCTGAACATGGAATAAAAGGGTTTGTGTTATCAGAGGTATATCTGGTGACGTTTCGACGAACGGCTGAAGGACAATTAAAGATTTCTCCCTGAAAGTGAAGGAATTAAAGAAATTGAGTTGACGACGGGGAATAACCAATAAGACCTGAAATTGAGGAAGCAATCAAGATTTGAGTATGGAAGATACACAAGAAGAAGTAAGGGGATTTAATAAATCTTAAATAATTATGTTTCGTATTTGACCCTTTTTTTGTATTGTACAGACACAATTTGTGGTCGATGATGTGAGCAAAATCATCAAGGAGGCAATTGAAGTATCAATTGGCGGAGATGCATATGCACACAACAAAGTTAGTCAGTGGACGACAAATGTGGTTGACGGATGCTTAGTGAGCCTCGCAAAATTATCGAAACCTTATAAATACATCGGTAAGGGATTTTACTTTTTTTCCATTTTTTTAAATAAATGAAGATAGAGCAGAAAGAAAAATAGGCAAATGAAATAATGTTCTAATATTTTCAAATGAGTCCTGATCGAGTTATTCTTTTCGCCCCCATCTTTCCTTTTCTCTTTCCCTGGCGTGGAATAATTTTGAGCTCTTAATTAAATTTCGTATTATTGCAGTCACATGTACAATTATGCAAAAGAATGGAGCAGGTCTGCACACCGCGAGCTCCTGCTTCTGGGACAACGCAACGGATGGCAGTTGCACAGTCCGCTGGGAAAATAAAACAATGTACTGCATCGTTTCGGTTTTCGGATTGGCTATTTAAATGCTTCTAGTCAGCTTCCAATGAAGCCAAATGATACTTTTTGGGATTTTAAGGATGAATGCTCGCGGAAAGAGAAGAAAAAGGGGATTCATTTGGCTTTGAAGGCTACTCCATGTAGATATTCCTCACACTTTTGTTTACAAACTAACATATTAGATCTTTACTTCGCTCGTAATCAAATTGTTCGTAATGCTCTCATTTGAAATGCATAGTTTGGATCTAATCGATATTTACTGCGCATTTTGTACTGTTCAATATCTTCGTTTGTGAGAAATAAAGGATATATTTGATTTAATTTATTTTATACTTCATTAGGGTAGGAAAATTTAATTTTGAAAAATGATAACGATGGGACAAAAGCCCTGTAGAAATGTGCTTCTCTCATTATTGAAATCGAAACACTATTCTTGTACGGATCAATTAAATATCTGTCTTATTCTTCTTTTTGTATCACAAATATAAGCATAATGATCTTACTGTTCTGTATTTTTTAATAAATCATTAATACTGTTTCTGGAAAATTACATGAAAAAATAAAACGATTAGACTTTAGGATGTCACGAAATACAAAATAATAATCTCAGATTTTTGGAAGGCAGAGCTTAGTCGAATAATAATCCTAAAAATTGAGAAACAGTTTAGTACGGTATGTATACACAGAAATAGAAAAAAAAAACAACACATTGAACTTTCGAGTCTCACATATTAAAAATAATTCTTCTCAAATACAAGATAGAAACTTTTTAAAAAATGTCATCCCATTGACTTTGAATTTGCAAAGAAAAAGAAAGAACATTGTTGAAGATATCATGACAGTCTTTAAATATTCATTTTTAATCTAGCTTCCAAAGGAATTGGAAATCAGTGAACTTATGAGTTGATTTATGAATGATTAACTATAAAGATATTAATTAATGACAATTTGGTGAATTATGCTTTGGAGGGGAAGGCATAGATGAGTTTATAAGTATTCAGTGCACTCATGAGACCTATCGGAGAGTTCGAGAAGGTCCGGAAGAAAGTCTTCGTCGTCGGCTGGGTCATCCTCATTTAGAAGTACCATATTGACAGCTAAATTATCCCCAAACTCATCGTCAATGTAGATATCCTCGACCGTGTTATCTGGAAGTTCAATTCTTCTGATGGGTATTTTGCCCAGTGGAGTATTACTCAAACTTCTCAACTGTCCCAGATGAGCAGGTAGCGATCGTCTCCTAGCCAAATTACCTTTAGCGCAGGA